CAGCCCATCCCCCAGCACCTGCATGGGGCCTCTGGTTAAAGAACTGCCATTTGTAAGCAGTAAACTGCATATGTCTAGACTTGGGGAGGACGTAAGGAATGATCTGTAGACCCGTGTCTTTGCTCTGCAGGTGGGGAAACTGAGGCGAAGGGCGGGGCGGGGGCCCATCCAATACCAGGGCTCACTGGGCCCGGGCCCGGGCTGAGGTCCAGGCCTCCGACGAAGCTCCCAGCTCTGCCCCCGCGCTGCACTCTGCACAGATGGCTTCGTGTCTCCGGGAAAGCGGAGTTTATAAATTTGGCCACATTCTGGAACAACACAGCCATAAATGGACATGCCCGCGGAAGGCTGGGACGTACCTGACCTTTCCGACTGGGGAGGGGGAGGGGAAGGGAGGACAAGGCGGGCAGCCCCAGCCACACTGAGATTCTTGCCTCTGGGGGAAAATAAAGCCGCAGCCAGAGGGAGGCTGCAGAGGAAGCGGGCAAACGGGGCAGACCTGGTCCGCATGCCCCCTTCGCAGCTGTCTGGCTCTGACCTTGGGCAAAGGCCTTCACCTCTCGGAGCCTCCCTGGTCACCAGACCTGGCGAAGGAGAACATGTGAGAAGGCAGAGGGCCAGGCCCAGCTGCAACGCAGACTCTTCCAGGATGGGACCCAAGCAACCGTATTTTCCAAAAGCCTCCTGGGCTGGTCTGCATCACCAGGGAACTGGAGTTCAGGCATCAATGACATCCGGGCTCTCAGAATCGCTGGTTTTATTAGACTCTGTTACCTACAGGTGAAATCCGGACTCTTTAGCCGGGAGTTCAAGGCCTCCAGGGCAACAGAGCAGCTTCACCCCCGACCCCCGCCCCCTCAGGCATCCCCTCCAGCCTTTCATCGCTTCAGTGTAACCGAGGTGGAGTGTCCTCCCTGCAGCCCCAGATAAAACGACCAGCTTGGCCTTCCCATGGGAATCAATTGAATTCCACACACCACAGTCTCCTCCTTTTCCAAAGGCGTTCACACCCACATTGGGACCTTTCAGTCCGCAGGCCGATGCTCTACCCACCGAGCCAAACCGGTTAGGGCCAGAATAGTTAGTTTTATTAGACTCTGTTACCTACAGGTGAAATCCGACTCCTTAGCCAGGAGTTCAAGGCCTCCAGGGCAACAGAGCAGCTTCATCCCCCACCCCCGCCCCTGCAGGCATCCCCTCCATCCTTTCATCGCTTCAGTGTAACCGAGGTGGAGTGTCCTCCCTGCAGCCCCAGATAAAACGACCAGCTTGGCCTTCCCATGGGAATCAATTGAATTCCACACACCACAGTCTCCTCCTTTTCCAAAGGCGTTCACACCCACATTCAAACCTTTGCTCAGGCAGTTTCCTCAAGGTGAGCAGTCCCCCCACCCCACCGACCCCATCTGGCTTCTCTGTGATAGAAAACCCACCTCAAATCTTCTCCCTCTGGAAGCTTCCTTGGGTCTCTGCACTCCTAGACTGAGTCACTATCCATTCAGCGCTCTACCCTCCAAATGAATCAATGAATGAATTAGTGGAATTCCTGATCGATTTGCCTCCCGGCCCTGGTGCCCAGTTTGTAGCCAATCATGTTTGTTGACATGCAATGAAATTGGAATCTCTGATCCAACTCTGTTCTGAATGCAACAACCACTGAAAAATATTCAGTCACCAAACATGTATTGAGCATCTACTACGCACTGGGCACGGTGAACAAACCAGGTCATTTTAGATGTTGGTGAAGTGTGTTGAGTGCTTTGAGAGCGAATGTTTTAAATATTGAGAGGTGCTGTTCCCTAGAGAGTGGTCTGGAAGCTTCTTCGCAGAAGTGGCATTTGAGCTGAGACCTGAAGAATGACAGAACCAGCCTGCAGAGCTCCAGAACGGGGGACCGGATTTGGGTTTGAGGAGAGCTCTCCAACCCGGCCAGTGTGGCTCAGTGGTTGAGCATAGACCTATGAACCAGGAGGTCACGGTTCGATTCCAGGTCATTGCACATGCCTGGGTTGCGGGCTCCAACCCCAGTAGGGTGTGTACAGGAGGCAGCTGATCAATGATTCTCATCACCATCATCATTGATGTTTCTATCTCTCTCTCCCTCTCCCTTCCTCTCTGAAATCAATAAAAATATATTTTTTAAAGAGAGGGGAGAGAGAGAGAGCTCTCCAGCTTCTAGGTGGTAAGTGGAGGTACGTGGGGCAGTGGCCAGAGCCAAGTGATTAACAGCCAGCCACGTGCAGAGGCAGGGCCCAACCACACGAAGGCGGACACCACAGCGGGGCCTGTGCTTGGGTGGGACGGCTGACCTTCCACACCTTAGATCCTTTGATTCTCTGCGCCTTATCTATGTTTTAAACACACACAAATAAAGAAAACAAAACCCCTTAGAGCATCCGAAATTGGCTAACGCCCATAGAATTGTTTTTTGTTTTGTTTTGTTTTAAATATCATTTCCCACTGAATCTTCACTTTTATGTTTCCAGCAGCGGACATCCAGCCAAGGGGACGAGTTAACTGGGACAAACGGGCTTCCGTCCCTGTCCCTCTGTCATTGTCCTCTGGATCGCAGCTCGTGGCTGCTAAGAGGGTCATTTCCTGTGGCCTCAGCAGGGTGAAGTGTGGGGGCCAGGTCTTCCCACGGATGCAGCTGGGTCAGCTGCATTTCCCGAGGGGACGCTGCTCTGGGGGGGGCGGGGGGGAGGCAAATGGCAGCCCCAGAGGCTCAGACAAGCAGCTCTGGCCCCACCGTTCATTTTTAAGTGAGTTACTTGAGGTTTAACAAAAAATGTGGTGAGCTTCCCAAGCTAGCTCCCCAGAAGAGCCTGGAGCCCTGATATTGGAGTCATCTAACATGAGCGGAACCCAGCCCAAGAGAGGGTCTGAGTTGCCCTGGCCGGTTTGGCTCAGTGGATAGAGTGTTGGCCTGTGGATCGAAGGGTCCTGGGTTCGATTCCAGTCAAGGTGTATCTCGGTTGCAGGCTCCTCCCGGGCCCAGGCTCTGGGTGAGTATTTAAAAAAAAAAAGAGAGAGAGAGAGAGAGGGTTTGAGTCACCTGATTTGAGGGTTTGAGTCACCTGATTTCATGACTCACCAAATTCAGGCCAGGTAATCCTCTCAGGTGAAGCTGGGCTGTGACTGGAAGACAGAAAAACCCCTCTCCCGCTGCAGACCAGGGCACCCTGACCCCAAGACAGGGGACTCCAGCCCTGGGGGGGACCACTGAACTCCAGAACTACACAAGCCACACACACACACACACACACACACACACAACACACACACACACACACACACACACAGATTCTGAGTTTCTAGGTTCAAAACCCCTCCTGGTTACCATCTGTTTTCTTAACCTGGTGCTCTGCCTCCGGGTTAGAGGCGGGGGGCGGGGGGGGTGTGCCAGGGCAGCCTCTGGCCTGTACCCATCAAATGCCTCCCAAGAAACCCATGAATCTCGTATCAGGATCATGCACCCTCCTCTCATGCCACTCCCCCTTGCTCATTACCTCCAGTCACTCTGGCTTCTTTAGGTTCGGCCTTCCTGCCTCAGGCCCTTTGCCCATGCTGTTCCCTCTGCCAGGATCGCCAGGCAGAGTGTTCACGTCACCTTTAACCTTTTCCTTCTTAGAACCAACCCCAACTAATGAATTGCGCAGTGATTTTCATGACGTCTCCCTCCACACCTTCAAAGCCATTCTCTGATCTGCAACAAGGGGTCCGCAGAGTCGCCACAGAAAGGGGAAGAGAGAAAAAAGGATAGAGTGTGGGAGGTTTTTGTGACCCAAGCCTGGAAGAGGCGCACATCCCTTCTGCTCATTGGCTGGAATCAGTCACATGCCCCCTCCTCGCTGCAAGGGAGACTGGGAAATGTAGTCTAGGTGAGTGTGGAACCCAAGACAGGGATGTCGGTGCATACCTGCCGGCTCTGCCACAGTGTGTTGCCCAGCATGAGAAGAAAAGGGTGACTCGGGCCTGGACAGGCAAAGGCCCCCGCCATTGCACTGCACGCGGCCTCAGCATCCCCACCCAGGGAGAGGAAGACCTGTCTTCTGGGCCTGTGTCGGCCTTTCCTGAGCACGTAAAACCAATTAATGGGCGGCCCCAGGAGCGGACACCGCCCTTATCTCTCTGACCATCACCTCTCCCCAACAAAGGCTGCTTTCCTGCAAATGCATTGTCCTGGCCGCAGGAGCACACTGGTGCCCACATGCACGTGAGAGAAACGCGTCAGGAAGGGTGGAGAATTGGCGGACAGGTACCCCAGCTCCCTCCCCGTCTTTGGGAAGACTGAGGCCCGCTCCACGCTGTCTCGGAGAGTTCCCTGCAGGGGTTGAGCTCTGCTTGCCCACCAAGGCAACTGCCCTGATAACGCTATCTCCAGGGGCTCCTTCTCTTCCCCATCTCGCTTCCCCGCTCCTCTGCATGATCCCCTGGGATCGGCTCACAGATCGATCATTTGCATTTAGTCCTTGTCTTAGGGTCGGCGTCTGGGAGGCCCCACACCAAGAGCTCCCCAAGGACAGGCCCACGGCCGGCCCGTGCTCTTCTCCCCTCCCGCGGGTAGCCGTGCGCTTCCCGGGCCCACAGTCACCCTTTGGGTGACTTTTAGGAACACACGAAACATATGTCAGCGGCCCGGTCCTCTTGGCCAGGGCTGCCGCAGACTCACAGAGAGAGGGCCGCACGCACTTGAAAACGAGCAAGTCTTGGAAGAGGTGTCTGCTCATCCTGTTTCTTTCCCACACACAGGAAATCCCGGGCAGGCGGCGCTTCCGGACCCGGGGAGGGGGCGGGGAGCTCCCAGCACTGGGCCCAAGCTCTCCTCCTCGTGAGAGGAAACCTTGGGTTATTGGAGGGTGTTGGCTTGCCTTCCTCGCTGCCTGGAGAAAGGGAGAGCTCAGAGTTCTGGATTCGAGTCCTCACCCCACCGCGAGGCGACCGGGTCACTTTGGCTGTTCCTTCCCCTCCCCTGGGGCCTCAGCTGCCATTTCTGAAGCACAGGGGTGGGGTGGCTGTGCTTCGGGGTGTCTTACAGTGGCTGCGTCCTGCGTCTCCTCAGAACTCGGATCCAGGCCTGGCTATGCTGTGTCGCTTGTGAAAACTTTTAAGGGATTTGAGGACTCAAAGCAGACAAGTATCTGGGCTATTTTGGAAGGCAGCATTAGCAACCGCTAAGAAGAGTTAGAGTGGTTTGTCCCGTAGATGGAATTTTCCATGGAAAAATCATTTTAAATATTTTCTTTATAAATTGGCACTCACTAGCTAACTTTTCTCTTTCCTTTTTCCAGGCTTGCTCCATCTCTACGTTGCAGCCCAAGTGACGTTGGTCCATTAGATCATTTTGCCCGTCTTGCTTAAAACTCATCTATGGCCCTAGCTGGTTTGGCTCAGCGGATAGAGCATCGGCCTGGGGACTGAAGGGTCCCAGGTTTGATTCCGGTAAAGGGCACATGCCTGGGTTGCAGGATTTCAGAGAGGAAGGGAGAGGGAGAGAGAGATAGAAACATCATCAATGATGAGAGAGAATCATGGATCGGCTGCCTCCTGCACACCCCCTACTGAGGATCAAGACCACAACCCGGTATGTGCCCTTGACCGGAATCGAACCTGGGACCCTTCAGTCCGCAGGCCGACACTCTATCCGCTAAGCCAAACCGGTTAGGGCAATAAAAATATATTTTTAAAAACCTCGCAGCCAGGAGCTATAGCCAAATGCACCTCTCTTTCCAAAAGAGAGAAAATGTACTAGAAAACCACTGGCAGAGCCTACGCCGGGCGAGGACAATCCTGTCAAATGCATGCGAGGCGCATGCGTGGGACCCGGGAGCCTCGCTGGGTGACCTCAGGCAAGGCCCCTCCCTCAGAGCCTCCCTTCCTGGGCTGTATAATGGGGGGCTGGTCTAGATCATCTCCTGGGGCCCTTTTACTCGGCCTCCGTGCCTCCCTCCCAAAAAGAAAAATGAGAGGGAACGAAAAGACATGGGTGGTTTCTCTTGTTCCATCTCCAAGGCCAACTCCCCAAAAATGTCCAGCGTGACATAGATTTAACATAAACAGCGGTGCGCTCACACTCCCAAATACCCCAAAAGGAGCCCCAGATGGGCTATTTTTATCCTTTTAAGACACATACACACTCCAGCCCCCGCCGCCCCCACCCACAAGTGTCTGTCCAGTTGATGTTTTATGAGAAGACAAGAGCTCCAGTTAAGGGTGCTAATTAAACAGCTTCGGCTGTGGGCAGGAGAGAGGCCGGAGCAGACCTCCTCTCGGGCATGATGTCACCGCAATAGTGCGTTTCTCATGACCCAAGAATGTGAGTGTGTTTGCACTGCACGTTGAAGTCCATGATGCAAGCGCAGCCTGGTAAACAGGCCCCAGACAGGCAGGCCCTGCGAGGCCTGGCGGGGGCCCAAGCCGTGCTTAACTCCTTCCTGGCAGAACTGGCTGGTGGGCCGCCAAGATTTGGCCAAGACGCCTTCTCACCTCAGCCCCCCACTTCTCTCGCAGGCGGGGTTCTTGGTCGGGAGGGGTTCGGGGATTCGGGGCCTCTCGGGAGACCTGTACTCCCACAAACCTGCGCCTTTTGCTTGCTCTAGGGCAGTGGCTCTCAACCTTCCTAATGCCGCGACCCTTTAATACAGTTCCTCATGTTGTGGTGACCCCCAATGTCATTGTTACAAATTGAACATAATTAAAGCTTCGTGATTAATCACAAAACAATATGTAATTATAGATGTGCTTTCTGATGGTCTTAGGCGACCCCTGTGAGAGGGTCGTTCGCCCCCCCAAAGGGGTCGCGACCCACAGGTTGAGAACCGCTGCTCTAGGGCCTTGCATAGGGGACACCTCTGCCCTGAGTCTCAGTTTTCTCATCTGTACAATGGGGAGAGGAACCAGGCCTCGATCCTTTATCGTCAGCTCCACAGTCCGGAAAACCTAGACAACCGAGGGCTTTTCTCTATAGTCAAAGAAAACACACTTGGAGGCAAGACCTGACCTGACACGGACTGAGGCTATGTAGGACCTTCAGTCCACTTAGAGGCGATGCTCACACTCCTCACCACAGCAACAGTCATATGTTTGATTGGAGATGGGTGGGCTCACACCCCACTGGATCACCTTTTAATGCCCCCCCCCCCTGCAAAGATTCTGAATTCTCAAACCCATCCAGCCCCTTGTTCAGCGGCTGAGGGACGGGGCTTAGCTTTGACCCTACTGTGTCCCAAGCAGCCAGCTCAACGCCTGGCACACAGCAGGCGCCCAAACAATTGTTGTTAAATCAACAGCTGAAGTTATTCATACCCCATCAATGCCATGGCGGCGATTATGGGGAAACTGAGGTCCGGGCCTCTGACCTGGCCCGCCCTGTATCCTTTCCCACAGAGGGAGTCCCGACTTTCCCCAAAAAAGGGAGCTGCTCACATTTCCCCGCCCGCCGCCTGCTCACAAACAGCCTAGTGACCCCCCTCCCGCATTCCAGGGCGGCTTCCTCCCCGGCTGGCTGGTTTGCGGGCATCTCCCGAGTTTTCTTTGGCAAAAGGTTCTGATGATTAAAAAGGAGGGGGGCACGCAGAGAGCTAGGGGTCTGGAAGGAGTGGTCCCAGGGCAGAGTGGGGGTGAGGGGTGTCTGGGGAAGATGGGATCTGTTGGCCGGCCTGAGATGATGGACCAGATTCTAGGATCCCTGTGAATGTGTCAACCAGGCCCTGCTTTCAACCTAGGGCTGGAGACTTATCCAGACCCGTGCAGAGCTGCCAGGATGGAAAAGGTCTCCCCAGTATGGTCTGACCTACCCCCAATTGCTGTGGGACCCCAAGTACCTCCTTTTGCCTCTCGGGTCTTAGCGTGCTTGGAGAACCCAGCACAGCGGAGCAGAGCTGAGGGGAGAGATACCGTCTTGAGTCCAAGCCCAGACTCTTCCTCTTGGCTGAGTGGTGAGTTAGGGCAAGTCACTTTTTCTCTCTGAGCCTCAGTGACCTCATCCGCAAGATGGCACTGAGTTATAGGGAGGTGGTTCTGATGAACGTACCTGGCACATAATGAAGGAACGTTAGGTACCATCCCCCGTGGCCTGGATAAGCCGCCTGGTCTGATGTGCAATGACAATCTCATTGTCTCAGCTCTCTGTGTGGCCTTTGGACTGCCCCTTCAGTCAGTCTTCCCACCTGTAATAAAGATAAGGCCTCACCAGGACTGTAGTAAGGACAAGGCTTGGCCATGGATGTTGGTTGATCAGTTATCTCCTGGTGCCTGGTCTGCAATCCTAAAGGGGCTTCTAGTCTGGAAGGAGAGACCATATGGAAAGTGCCTGGCACAGGTAGGTGCCCACTGGATGGAAGGAAGGAAGGAAGGGTGGATGGATGGATGGATGGATGGATGGATGGATGGATGGATGGATGGATGGATGGATGGATGGATGGATGGATGGATGGATGGATGGATGGATGGATGGATGGATGGATGGATGGATGGATGGATGGATGGATGGATGGATGGATGGATGGATGGATGGATGGATGGATGGGTGGGTGGGTGGATGGGTGGATGGATGGATAAATGGATGAATGGATGGATGAAATAAATGACTTACTCCAGGCCACAGAGTTAGTAAGTAACTTTCCCTGATACCTCACAATGGGCCCTGGAGGATGCAGAAGACGATGGATGGATGGATGATGGATGGAATAAATGACTTACTCCAGGCCACAGAGTTAGGAAGTAACTTTTCCTGATACCTCACAATGGGCCCTGGAGGATGCAGAAGAGCTGGTTTGAGAGAGGGGGGGGCACTCCACATGCAGGGACTGCATGAGCAAAGGCTTGGGGTTAGGAATTGTTGTGGCTTGGATGAGACACTGTCCCATATCTTCTCTTTCAGTAACTTGCTCAACAAGACTCTAGAGGAGGGGATCTGAATGGAGGCTCTCCCAGAGTTCTCTGGGGCAGAGCCAGGAGGTTGTGTAGGGAGAGGGCCCCAAGCCCAGATGAGCAGGCAGGAGCAAGCCCAGGCTGCAGGCCGGGCCTCGGAGGGACTGGTCTGGCCATATTTGGTTTTCAAGGAACTTGGAGGGTTCCTGCTGGCCCTGCTGCCCACACACAGGAGTGAGGCCACCCACAGTTACCGAATCAAGCAGGCAGCTGGGGTCGGAGCAGAGGCCCCACAATGGGGTGACTGTCACACAACTGTTCAGAGCCTGGCCTCTACAATTAAGACGATAAGGGTCCACCTAGCTGGTTTGCTCAGTGGATAAAGTGTCGGCCTGTGGATTGAAGGGTCCTGGGTTCGATTTCGGTCAAGGGCACGTACCTTGGTTGCAGGCTCCTCCCCAGCCCGGGCCCTGGTCGGGGTGCGTGCAGGAGTCAACCAATCAATGTGCTCCTCTCACATCCATGTTTCTCTCTGTCTTTCCCTCTCTCTTCCACTCTCTCTAAAAATCAATGGAAAAAATATCCTTGGGTGAGAATGAACAAAAAATAAATAACCCAAATATTAAAAAAAAGAAGAAGAAGAATCAAGTGACTGAATAAGCTGTAACAAACAGTTCTAAATCAGAGCCTCTCCGCATGACAGGCAGGAGACCAGAACGGCTTTCTAAACCCATTAGCTCATCTCCCTCATATCAGGAGGCACCTCTGGCCCTACCAGGAGCCAGGAGCTATGCGGGGAGCCAGGCCAGGGCCCTGGCCCGAGGAATCATTACCTGGCCAGAACTTGCCAGATTCTGGGATTTCACATCCCAGTAAAGTGTTCTGTGCAGATGGAACACACAATTGCCAACATTTTGTAATTTGTCAAAGTACATTAAAAAAAAAATAATAATAATAATAGCCGAAACCGGTTTGGCTCAGTGGATAGAGCGTCGGCCTGCGGACTCAAGGGTCCCAGGTTCGATTCCGGTCAAGGGCATGTACCTTGGTTTCAGGCATATCCCCAGTAGGAGGTGTGCAGGAGGCAGCTGATCGATGTTTCTCTCTCATCGATGTTTCTAACTCTCTAGCTCTCTCCCTTCCTCTCTGTGAAAAATCAATAAAGTATTTTTTAAAAAATAACAATAATAATAAAGCACTACTTTCTACTGTCATCATAAAATTTTATAAGGACTAATCTCAGAATTAACCAACTTTTTAAAAATTACCTTTATCGTCCTGGCTGGGTGGCCCAGGTGGTTGGAGCGTGGCCCCGAACACCAAAAAGGTTGCGGCTCAATCCCCGGTTGGGGCGTGTACTCTCATTTTGATGTTTTTTTCTCTCTCTCTCAATCCCATCCTCTCTCTCTATAAAAGTCAATAAAAACATATCCTCGGGTGAGGATTAAGAATAAAAAGTTTCCTTTACAAGTAACTCACCACATTGTCCTAGTTTTCTCACTAACCCCCGGGCCAGGGAGAATTTTATCTAGAACAGGCATGTGGCGATCTCCAGATGAGCGGGAGAGATAGAACATTTATGCAAATAACTCAGAGTAGCCATATTCATTTAGTGTCTTTGGGTTGAGAGACACATAAAACTATTCTGGCTACCTTAATAGCTACAGTCTACCAATAACATTTATTGCTGGTAATATTAACATTGATTCCTTGGTTAAGGTGTCTGCTGGGCTTCTCTGTTGTAAAGGGTCTCTTTGTAATTAGTAAGTATCTTGTGGGGTGATACTAAAAGGCTATGCAAAAAATACAGATTTCTCAGCATTTCCAGTTCTTTTTAAAAGTGCCATCAAATGTACACATTCTGCTTTTATTCCACAAACATTAAATGTTCACCCACTATGTGCCAAATACTGGCCTAACGTGCACGGCTTGGCAATGTGCAGCCCTGTGATCTTGCTGGATCTTAGGATCCTTACCTGCAAAATGAATATAATTATATCTGATGCCCTAGGCGGTTTGGCTCAGTGGATAGAGCATGGACCTGTGGACTAAAGGGTCCTGAGTTCGATTCCTGCCAAGGCCACATACCTTGGTTGCAGGCTCAATTCTGGCCCTGGTCAGGGTGCTTATGGGAGGCAACCAATCGATATGTCTCTCTTCTATCAGTATTTCTCTCTCTGTCTTCCACCTCCCTTTCACTCTCTCTAAAACTCAATGGAAAAATATCCTTGGGTGAGGATTAGCTAACTAAATATACACACATTAATCTTAAAAATAATAATTATGATTCTATCTGACCACTCAGGGCTGCTGAGGAGAAAGGAGGACCGAGCTGGTGAGCATGTTCTGCTAACTGGGTTGTTCATTCTCCTCCCAAAGTGCCCAGCCCTGTCCTAACCTCCACCTATTGGCAGCCTCCGTTTCTGTCCTGCCCGAACCCACGCCCGCAGGCTTCTGTCTGTCCTCACTGGCCAGACTCCCTTTTCCTATTTGCCAAGCCTTGCTTGTGACGTCATTGAATACGTTTTGGAGACACTGGGCAAGCCTTGTGGAGACTGACCATTTCCTCCGGACACTCTGCCTGCAATTTGGGGAGCTGCCTCGAGGCGCCAAGGGACACCTGGCACCTGTGGGTGGCAGGCAGGAGATCCCTCCTCCCGTAGCAGAAACAAGGGGGAGAAGTAGGCATTGCCTTCCTCCAACAACGTTTTGGCCCTAAAAAAAGGAAACCCTTGGGACCCAGGGAGAGCTGAACAAGCCCAGACGGACACTTGTGTCCCACTGAGTGACCTAACATGGTCATACTTTAAAGTAACAATTTCAAAATGTGAAAAGATGGGCCCTCGCCAGTGTGGCTCAGTGGCTAGAGCATCGGCCTGCGGACCAAAGGGTCCCGGGGTTGATTCCCGTCAAGGGCATGTCACTCCGTTGCAGGCTCCTCCCTGGCCGGGGCTCATGCAGGAGGCAATCATCAATGTGTTTCCCTCACATTAATATTTCTCTCTGTCTCTCCCTCTCCCTCCCATGCTCCCTAAAAATCAATGGAAAAAATACCCTCGGGTGAGGATTAACAAAACAACAACAAAAAGTGAAAAGATGAGCTCGCCCCTGACCCAGCCTCCTAACTCAACAGCACTTTTAGTTGAGAACCGGATGTTAGTGGACCCAGAAGAAGGTACAAGTTAATCTCCTTCAATAACTCAGAAGAGGCTTTCAAACCTTACCCGGGGGGGTTCCTCACCGCCCTCTCTCAATATTTTCCCACAAACAGACCTGAGGCTCCTTTTGACCGTCAGTCCCTCGCTCTCCTCCCGGCCCCTCAGCTGTCTTGTGCACCAATTAGCTGGTGACTAATTGCTCCTTAATTGTGAACCCGCTGGCCCATTCCCAGCTCCCACCCACACAGGCTGGCATGTGCATCCTCCAGGGAAAGGTCTGGTGTGAGTCCCGTGGTTCACAGGCCCCACTGCTGTGGGTTGAACCTCTTCTTAGGATCCAGGTCTTGTTCTAGGCCCCGAGGACTCGGTCGGTGGTGAGCGAGACAGACTGGGTCCTTGCCTTCTCAGAGCTCACATCTAGCAGGAGCCAAACAGCAGCAACGAAATAATTTCAGATAATAGTGGGTATGAAAATAAATAAAAAAAGGTAACACCGTACTGAGTACTGCTTGGTGCTTCCGACAGGTGCGCCGGGAAGGCCTCTCTATGGAGGTGACGTTGGAGTTGAGACGTGAATGGTAATCAGGACCCAGCAGGAGTGAAGGTGAGGAGGCAGAGTGGTCCAAGCAGAGAGCAAGGCAAGAGCAAAGGCTGGGGAGGTGGGGGGGAGGCGGGGGGACCCAGCATGGCCTGAGAAGCACTCATTGCATCCATTCAGCCCCCAGGGATTCAGGAGTCAGACATCGGGTTAAAAAGTTGGAGCAGCCCTGACTGGTTTGGCTCAGCGGATAGAGCCTCGGCCTGCGGACTTAAGGGTCCCAGGTTCGATTCCAGTCAAGGGCATGTACCTTGGTTGCGGGCGCATTCCCAGTGGGGAGTGTGCAGGAGGCAGCTGATCGATGTTTCTAACTCTCTATCCCTCTCCCTTCCTCTCTGTAAAAAATCAATAAAATATATTTAAAAAAAAAAGTTGGAGCAATGCCCTGGCCAGTTTGGCTAAGTGAATAGAGCATCGGCCTGCAGACCAAAGGGTCCCAGGTTCGATTTTGGTCAAGGGCACCTGCCTGGATTGTGGGCTCAGTCCAATGTGCAGGAGGCAGCCAATCAATGATTCCCTCTTATCATTGATGTTTCTATCTCTCTCTTCCTCTCCCTTCTTCTCTGAAATCAATAAAAATAAATTAAAAACAAATAAAGTTGGAGCAAAACATCCCTCCCTCTCCGTGTTGGCAGAGACTGGGGGTGGGGTGTACTCCTCCTGGACCTGCCCTCAGAAGGAGGAATTATTCATCTGATTAAGTCAGATTCCAGGGTCCTCATTGGTCCTTGGTGGTAATGAGGGTGATGTTTCTTCAAGGTCTCAAACTGCACAGACCCATGGGGGCGGGGGGGGGGGGGGCTGTCCCCTTCAGAGGAAGCCTCTGCCCTGGAGGAATCCAGACCCAGGTTTGAGACCCCAGGGAAACACAAATTTGGATTGTCACATGAAATTTCCTGATTTTTAAATGTTAACAACAAATTCAAAAAGATTTTTTTAAACAACAAAAAATATATTTTATTGATTTCAGAGAGGAAGGGGGAGAGAGAGAGAGAGAGATTTCAATGATGAGGAAGAATCATTGATCGGCCCATCTCTTCTAGATAAGCCTGGAATCCTAGCCTCCCAGGGAAGGGGCACAAAAATCTGGGTCTTGCTCTAACCTTTGGGAGAAAAGGTTAGAAATCTTTCCAGAAACCTGAGGCGAGGGAACATCCTGTGCTTCAAACCCAGAGAAGCTGTGACCTGGGGCCGGCCCTCCCACATCAGATGGCCCTGAGGTCTACGGCGCTGTGTGACCCAGGCATAGCTCACATTCCCTCTGCGCTGCAGTATCAGGATGCAAAGTGTGCAGAGATAAGAGCTCAGCCTCTGGGACCGAAGCTCTGGGCCCAAATCCTCACTCCCTTGCTGATGGCCCAGGGCAAGTTCCTTCCCCACTCCCGGCCTCACATTTCTCATCTATAAAACGGGCGCAAGAAAAAAGCCATCCCACCCCCCTCCCCCAGGGCCTCACATTTCTCATCTATAAAACGGGTGCAAGAAAAAAGCCACCCCCCCCCCTCCCTGGGGGCTGTTGCGACAACTGAATGGGTGGATGCTTGATGTGAATGCATGGTGTAAATGACCCCAACGTGGGCTTAGTAGCTGGACAGGTGGCATTAGCATCATCTCAACCAAAACCCCATGTTTTATGTGTGTTAATCCTCACCCGAGGATATTTTTCCATTGATTTTTAGGGTGAGTGGGAGAGGGAAAGACATAGGGAAACATCCATGTGAGAGAAACACGTCGATTGATTGCCTCCTGCACGAGCCTCAACCAGGGCCCCGGCCCAGGAGGAGCCTGCAACCGAAGTACGTGACCTTGACTGGAATCAAACCCTGGATCCTTTGGTCCACAGGCCGACACACTGAGCCAAACCGGCTAAGGCCAAAACCCCATTATACGGAGGAGAAGACAGAGGCTCGAGCCAGTGATGCGACTTGCCAAGGCCACACAGCTTAGGAGCAGTGATGTCCCCAGCATACTTAGGTTTGTCTGATTCCAGAAGCCCAAGTCGTAACCTCTCTAAAGTTAGAGGGTTCTGGGTTCGAGTCTCAACTCTGCCCCTTGCAGTCACAGGAGCTTGAGCTATTCCCTTTTTTCTCTGGGTCTCGTTTTTGCCTCATCTAAATACATGACAATCTGCCCATGATGACTTATGTATTTTCCTCAAATGGGAAAATACACAGGAAGTGCCTCGCACAGTACCCAGGATGGACAGGTCTGTGGCCAGCAGTTGAGGCTGTCCTAATCATCAGAGGCAAGTTGCTTAACTCTCTGAGCCTCAGTTTCTCTATCCATCAAGTAGGACTAATAGCAGTCTCATCTCATTGGGTGGTCGTAAGGAATAAATGAGTTACTGTGGGCTAAGCCTTAGCACAATGCTGCCCTCACTATTATTTATTTTAATTTTTTTCACAGAGAGGAAGGGAGAGGGAGAGACAGATAGAAACATCAGTGATGAGAGAGAATCATTGATTGGCCGCCCTCTGCAGGCCCCCCACTGGGGATTGAGCCTGCAACTGGACTCAAACCCAGGACCTTTCAGTCTGCAGGCCAATGCTCTATCCACTGAGCCAAACGGGCTAGGGCACTTGGTATTCTTTTTAAAGTTCTGAAACCTGTTGTAGGCCAGCATGAGACTACGAGGGACCCCAGTCCCCCCACTGGCCGTGGCTCCAGGCATTGCCCTTGCTGCCAGTCAGCTATTATTAGGCCCCGAGTCCTCATCTTAAATCCAGATGGGGAGCCAGAGGGGCGGACAGGGCCGGGCCGGGCTGGTGGAGGGCTGGGAACAGGCTGGAAGGCTGGTTTGGGTTTGGGCCCCACCCTGCCTGCAGCCGGTCCAAGCTGCCACGTCTGCACTTGGCTCCGAGGTCTGCACCAAGCCCGCCTCCCACCATGGCCGCCTCCTCGGGGAAGGTTCGCAGTGTTTCCACAGCCTCAGCACTTTTCTTCCCGCCCCAGGGAGGCCAGGCCTGTGTGGAAACGCTGAACTGGACACGGCTCGCCTCTGCAGCCTGCAAAGGGGCCGTGCACTCTCTCGTCTCCTGGGGAAAGGGCCCGCACAACTGGGTTCAAGTCCCAGCCCTACCAGCAACACGCTGTGTCAGCTTGAACAAGTGGCATTTCCTCTCTGAGCCTTTTCTTTCTTTTTTAAATTGATTTCAGAGAGGAAGGGAGAGGGAGAGAGAGAGAGAGAAACATCAATGATGAGAGAGAATCATGCATCGGCTGCCTCCTGCACACCCCACACTGGGGATGGAGCCCCGCAACCTGGGCATGTGCCCCGACTGGGAATCGAACCGGGACCTCCTAGTTCGTAGGTCGACGCTCAACCGTTGAGCCACAGCGGCCGGGCTGAGCCTTTTATCTGTAAAATGGATATAATCATAGCACCTACCTCACAGGGCTGTGGTGGTGATTCGGTGAGTGAATGGCACATAGTAGGCATTCAGTATGCACCGGTTATTGTCACTTCATGCTTGGGTGTGCCGGGTCCTGAGGGGGAAACAAGGGATTTAGGAAACTGGGGACCTGGAGTGCAGAGTGGCTCCACTTCTACTTCTGTGCGACCTGAAGCCTGTGCCCGAGAAGGCAGGGACTCAGAGTACCTGTTCGGACCACAAAGTGGGCATCTAGGACTCTATGGTGCCAAGATCCCGCTCCTGTGCTCACAAGTTCGATTCCCGGTCAGGGCATGGGTTGCAGGCTCCATCCCCAGTGTGGGGCCTGCAGAAGGCAGACAATAGTGATTCTCTCATCATGGAAGTTTCTCTCTCTCTCTCTTGCTCTCCCTTCCTCTCTGAAATCAATAAAAACACCTATTTTTAAAAAGAAATATGACAAGGCCCCATGTGGGAAGAGATTCCAAATGGTAGAGGGCAGGGTGCCAAGGGTTCTGGGTTCGAATTCTGTGTGAGGTGCTGGTGTGGCTTGGTCTCACTGAGCCTGTCTTCTCATTTATATGACGATAGTCCTACCTCACAGGGCTCAAGCTGTGAGGGTCATGATAATAACAAATAGCCACTCATATATTAGAAGGGTGATCTGGAGCCAAGTTCCAACCCAATGGACAGCAATTACGCGGGGCCCCTGCCATGAGTCTCGATGACATCAGGCATCAGGGAACCCCCAGAAGCCACAAAAAATCTGGACCGGCCCATAAGAACCCTGTCCTATGTCCAAGAGCGTGGCCTCCTGGGGTTCATCACAGCTCAGTGGGCGTCTCAAGGCCCCTAAGGTCTTCTTCCCGGGGCCCACTTGCCTCCGAGTTTCCTACATTGAAGAGCCACTCTGGCCTCGGCTGAGTAGCTCAGTTGGTTAGAGCATTGTCCCAATACGCCAAGGTTGCGGGTTCAATTCCTGATCAGGGCACCTACAAGAATCAACCAATGAATGCATAAGGATTCCTGGTCAGGGCACCTACAAGAATCAACCAATGAATGCATAAGCAAGTGGAACAACAAATGGAGGTTTCTCTTTCTCTCTCTCTCTCTTAAAAAAAAAAAAATCAACAGTCATTCCTTTCCCATCCCTCGGCACATGGGGCCAGCCCCCTTCTCCTCCTCCAGGCCGGAAGTTTATCTGGCACTGTCACTCAGAGGACACAGCAGCTGGATGACATCATGCAGGAGACCGCCTTGCCAAACTGGTTTTCCAAACAGGTCTCCAGCCCCACTCCTGGGGCTGCTGGCCATGACACTAGGGGCCTCCAATTCTGCCTATTTGACGAGGGAGGATCCAGCCAAGCCCAACAAGAACCAATTCTTCTCCTCCCGAGACCCCATGCTCCTGCCTCACCTACCGGAGTTTTCCCCAACAAAGTCCTCACAGTCCGACCTCCCTTCCTTTGCCCATGCTGTTCCCTTCTCCATGCTGCCTTTCCCCATCCCCTCAGATGCCAAACAGCAAGTGAGGGCTTTGTTCTTGACGCCATTTAGACTCCACACACCACGTCTCCCCCTTCTGCCACTAGGCTCTGAGACTCCAACAGCAGGACCAGCCTGGATCCACTTCTAGCCCCTCCAACCCTCCCAGTGCCCAGCAGCCCCCGGACTCCCTCATAGGCCCAAGGTCTTGGCCTTGCCTGACCTCACAGCCACTTGTGAGCACATCCCAAGTGGGGTCTCCCAGAAAGTCCTGGAATTTTTTTAAAAATATATTTTTATTGATTTCAGAGAGGAAGGGAGATAGGGAGAGAGATAGAAACATCAATGATGAAAGAGAATCATGGATCAGCTGCCTCCTGCACGCCCCCTACTGGGGATTAAGCCTGCAACCCAGGCATGTGCCCTGATCGGGAATTGAACCCTGACCTCCTGGTTCATAGGTTGATGCTCAACCACTGAGCCACGCCAGCCGGGCCAGTCTTGGAATTTTAAGGTGTCTAGTCTGGCAGGAACGGACTTAGAGAATTGAGGCCACAATCGCCCCATTGTGAAGATGAGGCAACCGGGGTTTCCATGGGACCAGTACTTAGCCTAGGGTGGAGCCAGGGCTAAGATTCGCCACCCCTCCTGAGTCCTGACCCCAGGCCTGGGCTTTCCCTGCAGAATCCTGGCTGGGGAAAATGGGGCGTGGAGGGTGTGGGGGGGAGGGGAGAGCTCACAGGGTGATTCAGGGATCTGGCACTGCCAGCCTGGTACAATATTTATTCTCAAACTCAGGCACTGGAGCAAAATATTACCCTTGGCCCCCTGAGCTGCTCCAGCTACTGCCCCACTCTGCCAAGTCCTAGGTTGGACCTGGAGGAATCCGGGCCCTTCCTGTTACACCCCCTAGCCCTGGGAGGGCCAGACGTGGGCCAGTCCAATTCCCCCATTTTACAGATGGACAGACTGAGGCCCAGGCCTCCCCAACGCCCATAAGGTCTGTTCACCCTGCTCAGCTGGTATTCAGGGCACGTCACAGATAGAACCACCCCATCTCCATTTTCTGCTCCATCGATGGCCCATCTCTCCTCCCTTCCCCATTTACATACAAACCTCCCAGCTTCTACTCACGCTGTTTCTGGGTCACAAATGCCCTTCCGTGCCTTTCCCCTTCTATTCTGTGGGGTGGGTTTCTTTCCATCCTTCCTCAAGGATCCGTTTGCACATCACCTCCTCCAAGGAGTCTTCCAGGATTCCCCCTATCCTAGAGGCAGCAAGGTGGAGGAAAGGGACTTGGACATGGGCAGAATGCCACTCAAGTTTGAATGCCATTACCAGGCCAAGGTGCCCTCGCCTCCCAGAGCTTCTTCAGCTTCCTCCTCTGCAGAATCCGGGTCAACTTGCAAGAGGGCAACCCCTGAGTCTGACACGCAGCAAATGCTCAGTAACCGCCAGGACCCTCCACTCAGGATGTTTACGCGTCCCAGGCTGTGGCTGACGCTTCCCCAGCCGCGCACGGAACTGCCCTTTGATCTTTATTTCACCGTCAACACCATCCCGCCCCGCCCCTTGCAGGGAGGAAGGGCAGGGGCAGGCAGGTAGGAGGACCCCAGCCCTGAGGGCTTAAGGTACCAAGAATTCCTGAACTTGTGTCAGACCCAACAAGTCCGGACTCAGACTCACCTGTGCGGTTCTTCCCAGGTTCGCGGGGGGGCGGAGCTAGCAAGAAGCAGGCCATTCATTCGAGCCTGGAGCTGCCCCTCAGGCAGGGCGGAGAATCCCAGGTAGCCTAGAGCTGTGCCCCGCCCCAAGGGGCTGTGCCAACGGGCGTGCGAGGTTTGAAGTAGGACCGAGTTGGCCTTGGAGGGCGCTGACTCATGCTACCAGGATAAGATGGCATCTGGGTCACGTCGAGAGGGTCTAGACGGGGCCTGCCCAGGGGAAGGGGGCCTGGCTGTTTGCTCCTCCTCCTGTGGGACTGAACAAGTCCACTCCCCTCTCAGCACCTTGCTTTTTCCATGGGTAAAAAGGAGCCACCTGGCGAGGATGTGGGGATGAAAGAGGACACCTTTAAAAGAGTATCAGAGCCCCAGCTGGTTTGCCTCAGTGTAGAGAGCGTCGGCCTGTGGACTGAAGGGTCCCAGGTTCCATTCCCAGTCAGGGCACATACCTGGATTGTGGGTTTGATCCCCAGTGTGGGCCGTGCAGGAGGTAGCCAATCAATGATGCTCTCTCATCATTGATGTTTCTCTCTCACTCTCCCTTCCTCTCTGAAATCAATATATATATATATATTGCCCTAGCTGCTTTGGCTCAGTGGATAGAGCGTTGGCGTGCGAACTGAAGGGTCCCAGGTTCGATTCCGGTCAAGGGCACATGCCCGGGTTGTGGGCTCGATCCCCAGCGGGGACTTGCAGGAGGCAGCCGATCCATGATTCTCTCTGATCATGGATGTTTCTATCTCTCTCTCCCTCTTCCTTCCTCTCTGAAATCAATAAAAATATTTAAAAAATATATATATATATTTTAAAAAAGAGTATACTGGACCTCTCTAAATACGGGTAGAGAATACGGAGGTGGGTGGGTGTGTGGGTAGTCACAGAGGATCCTCTAGAAGTGGTAGAGGTGGGGTAGAGGTGGGGTGGCACCCAAGTCTAAGAACCACACCACACATAACCAGTCCCCAAAATGGCACAGAGATGGCATCAAGAAACCCCGATCACAAAGATTCGAATCTCTTAAGCGGGCAGACCCTAAGTTTCTGAGGAACGTGCGCTGTGCCAAGAAGCACAACAAGAAGAGCCTGAAGAAGATGTAGGCCAACCGCGCCAAGGCCACGAGCGCATGAGCAGAGGCTACCAAGGCCCTCGTCAAGCCCAAGGAGGTCAGGCCCAAGATCCCAAAGGGCGGCAGCCGTGAGCTCAGTGGACTTGCCTACATGGCTCACGCCAAGCTTGGGAAATGTGCTGGTGCCTGCATCGCCAAGGGTCTCCGGCTCTGCAGGCCAAAGCCAAGGCCGAAACCAAGCCCCAGGCTGCGGGTGTGGCTGCAGCGCAGGCTCAGGCTCAGGCTCAGCTGTGAGGACAGAGGACTGATGTGATCCCTGGGCTCCTGTCTGCATGGAGCTGGTGTCCTCCTGTGCTATGTGTACAAATAAACCTGAGGCAGGATCTGCCTAAATAAATAAACAATAAAAATAAAATAAATGAGGTGATACTATTATTGTTTTTATTTGACAGACAGGACACCAGACCCCACCTCCCAGGCTCCAACTCCTTTTGGTCTCCATGGAGACCCGTGGGAGGCTCCCCGGCCTCCAGCAAGGGCAATGGAGCGGCTTTCCCAGTGGGTCTGAGCTCTGGGGGTCCCCTGGCTGACTCCTTGTGTAGTCTTGGGCATGTTGGCTTTCTCTGCGCCTTAATGTCCTCCATTTGTTGAATGAGAGTCTGAACTCCATATTCCCAATTTTGGGGATCCCAACGCTGAAAGAGGCAGATCCTGGGGGGCTTGGAAGGGAGACGCATGGCCGATGAGGGCAATGTCTGCGCCAAGATGTGGCGGCCGAGAGAGGGTTGCCGTGTCACTGATCCTGGGTCCCTGAGATGCGCCAACATGGGGTCAAGATGCCGCCGATTACGCAGTCGCTCCTCGGAGGTGGCCCCGACCAGGTGTCCCCCAAAAGCAGCCTGGGGGCGGCGACCCAACCCAGCCACTGACGCGAGGAGGGGGCGGAGTCCAGGGAGGGGACGTGGTCTCAGGAACAAAGAGGAGGGCTGTCCCGAAGGCGCCGCGACGCGGGCGATCCCGCGCCTCTTACCCCGGCGCTGGGCGCCCTCCTGGACTTTGGCGCAACACTGCGTCCTCCTACCGATGCCCACGCGACCAGCCGGGCCCCGGCGGCCGTGGTCCCACGACTACA